AGTGGGGGGCATGCAGGAGGTGACCAATTGATGTTCTCTCTCATCAATGTTTCTCCCCCTCTCCCTTCCTCTCTCTCTAAAATCAATTTAAAGAAAATAATAACATAGTAATGGCTCTCTATCAGTCTGCCTGGAGGGAGAGGGAAAAAGAAAGTAAGGAGACTAAAACCAAAGAGGACATAGCTTTTTTTTTTTTTTTAAAGATAGAAACTAACTTGTTGAGGAAAAAGAAAAATAATGGGAGATCTGATTGGTAAAGAAGCAAAAAGAAAGAGAGTATTGGAGAATGACTTTAAAGGAGCCTGTGCAACATAGATTTCAAGTGAAATCTTAATCTGTGGGTGATTTCAGAGCCTTTTACAGCGAACTTTGAGCATAGGGCTAGTAAAGTGATTTTCTACCAGTAGATCAGCTGCTCACCTGCACTGGCAGATCATTTCTGCTTTCCTGCACGCCCTTTTCTCAACTCGGAAAGTTGAGGGTCAGCAACTAGATTCAGCCATAAGAGTCTGGGCCAAAGCCATGACTATGAAAGGTATTTTTAAAATTCCATTTTTATGATGTCTACAACTGCAGGCGTTAGTATGCCAGAGACAGAAGTACTGATAATGAAAAGTTACCCCATACCAAATCTGACTCCTATGGGAGAGGTGGAAATGGTTGTGATGGAATTCAGTTACTTCAGTACCCTGGGATTTCTGTGACGTTCGGGATGCTGGGAGGTTCTTCCCCATCCTTCCTGGTTAAATATGAATGGACATCTATTGCCATTACTGCCCTGCTCCTGGGTCTTCCACATTTAGATTGTCGACATTTTGAAAGTCTGCTAGTCACAAATAGATTCTTGCATTTTCCACTCCTTGTCACAGGGCCAGTTCAATATGCTTGCATTGGCACTGCATTTGGTTTTCTTTACAGCAGCAGCTGCTAATTAGTGACAGCTTTTGAGCAAGCAGCTTGTCATTTTTGGCAGGGGTAGGGAACATCCATAACAATTCAAGACTATATTTTCATTTGCTAAATTTACTTTGCTACATGGAAATACATCTTGAATAAAAAATTGTCTGTAGTCAAACATGGCTGTATTTACTGAAATACCTTCCAGCGTTGGCATTAGATCCTGTAGCTGAAGAACTCTTAGGAGATAAATAGCAGGTTCAGTGTCTGTCAGACTGATGCCATTAGTCCTGAGTCATCTTTCCGATGTTAATCTACATTCTGGATGTAGAACTTTATCCTCTTGTTTTGGCACAATAATACATATTTCTGGATTGTATTTGGTAGTATACCTGGTATCTGAAGAGATGAATTGTTGATAAACCTTGCACTTTACATTTATACTCACCACCTTTTTTGAGACATAATTAAAAGAAAGAAACAGTTTGGCTTGCATAAAGGAAAAGGCTTTTGCCTGGTGTGGCTCACTGGTTGAGCATCAACCCATGTACCAAGAGGTCTCCAGTTCAATTCCCAGTCAGGTTGTGGGCCCAATCCCCAGTGGGGAGCATGCAGGAGGTGGCCAATCAATGTTCTCTCTCTCATCAGTGTTTCTCTCTCTCTCTCTCTCTCTCTCTCTAAAATCAATATAGAAAAAATGTTAAAGAAAAAAAGCTTTCTTTAGAATTTCTGCTCATATTAGCATCATCACATTTTATGTGATTCTCCTCTTTGAAATTGCCACAATGAGATGTTGGCTCTGTTCTACAAACTTGTCACGATATTTATGGAATGGTACAACTTGCAATTATATTTACCTTGATTAGCACCAATGATGAGTCAAAACCTCCGTCACAGTTTCTATAAAGTGTGATTCAGTCACATTATTCCTGTAATAAGGACTCAAGTTAATGACCCCAACAGTGTTAAAAATAACATCTTGAAGGAAATAACTGACCTACCAGCCATTTCCCCCAATTTAGGTTCTTTTTGTAACTCGGAGGTCTACCAAAATTGTTTTTAACACACAATTTCTGAATACCTACCGTGTACCAAGTACTGTGTTGAAGAAATCAAAATGGATGAAAAATGATTCCTGCCCTGGGATAACTTAGAGTGTAGTTAAGCAACAGGTAACTCAAAATTGCTTTAGTTGTTATGCCCAGAATGTAGGGCACATTCTCGTTCTAGAGGTAAAGCATTCCTTCTTTTAAAACTGGTATGATCAGCCGTGGCTGGTGTGGCTCAGTTGCTTGGGTGTTATCCCATGCACTGAAAGGTTGCTGGTTTGATTCCCATGCCCAGGTTGTGGGCTCGATCCTGGTAGGGGGTGTGCAGGAGGCAGCCATTGATGTTTCACTCTTACATTGATGTTTGTCTGTCTCTCTTCTCTGTCTCCCCCCCCCATTCCTTCTTCTCTCTCTAAAAAATTCAATAAAATAAAATTTAAGAAATTAAAACTGGGACAATTAAAATGATAAAAGGCATAGAATATAAGTTTATATTGATTACTTTTTTAGCTAAAGTTGTTCAAGATTGCATGAAGCACCTTTCATAAAAGTATAGAATTTCCAGGTTCCTTATTCCAAATGTCTCCTTGATGTGTTATGCCACACTGTTAAATTCAGAAGTTGTCTTCCACATAGGAGTAAATACTTCTCAGTGGCATGGCTTGGTGAACCCAGATGATCTAACACTCAGCCAGTTATTCCATGTACACTGCACACAGTAACATGGTTATTTCTACACTTGTCATATCAGTGTTTATTATTGCAGGAATTTATCATTTATACCTGGTCTGTAACTTCATATGCCCATCAGCATTAAGTAACTTGATGTTTAATTATTGATATAAGGTGAACAGTTATCCAGATAACAGCTGACTTCAGTATCCTTTACTATCCAATCTTACCCACTAGACTTTTCCACAAGCTGTTTCCTCATTTGTATAAATGATTATTGTCACTTTAATGAGAAAACCGGAGATTAGGATGTTCCCTGGTAAATATTGGGAATGGATTATAATGTATCTAATGGAAACCAATACAGAATTTGGAAACAAATCTAACAAGTATAACAAACCACTCTGCTTCTTATAGGAAATGTCACAATGTTAATTCTGATCACAAGTGGTCAGGATCTTGGATCTAGGTTTTGGCCTCGTTGGAAAGCCCACCCAAGAACTGTTCTCATTATTCTCCTCCTACCCTTTTACAATCTAACACATTTGGCTGATTTCTGGTTGATTTGGAGGAGTGAAGGTGAATCACCAAACCCCTAACATGGCTTCCTCTGGTTGTCCGAAGGTTTGTCATCTAGATGTTCTCACCAGCCCATAGAAAGCATTTTTTGGAGTGTCAGATAATTTTTTGCATCTATCTGTGAGCTGCATTTTGTGTTAATTCACTTTGTGCTTTTATCATAAAGCAGTCTTAAACCATAGGTATCCTGGTCAGGAAAAACTCATTTAAACGGGTGAGAGGTTTTAATAAGTAAAGTACTGGAGTTGACAGGAGGCGCCGGGAGGTGGACAGCCTAAGTGCTGATTCCAGCTCCTTCGCTTTCTTGCTTCAGGACTTCAGGCAAATTTCCTACCTCTTAATCCTGTTTCCTCATCTGTAGAATAAGAGTAATAATCATACTACTTTATAGGTTTTTCATGAAGATTAAGTGAGGGTGCATATAAAGGGCACACAGCTATGTGTGCGCTCGTTGACAAGAGCTCCTTGGATGTTTATTGTTACTACTGTTACTGTTATTACTGTTACTATTCATATGCTTGTTCTCCTTTTTGTGCTAGTTCCTTGGCTGTTATTTAAGATTTGGTGATTAAGTACAGGAAAGACTTGGAAATGTAATAGTTTATCTTGTTTATAACACGAAACAGTTTCTAGTGTCGGTAGCAGTAGTTAATTTAGCGTGTATCACAAACTAACAAGTTTTTCCTTGAGCCCCAAACTGTGTTCCTTTCGAATGAGGTAGTCACAGAGTGGGTTACATACTCTCCATCATCAAAGCCTAGAATCTTTAGAACACAAGCTTGTCTCACAAAAAGCCTGGTGTCTCTGTTGCCACCACAACCTGAAACTAGCGAGTTAGAAACCACATAGAGCCTTATGACATGCTGTAGGAGTCCTTCCAAAGGACCCGTCACATTTTCTTGTAAGTTTCATGCAGACAGCTAAGCTAGAAACTAATCTGGTTGAGAAAACTTAAAAAGTCTTCATTTTTCCTTCCTTCTTTACCTTTATACTCAAAAGGGTCTAATGTGTTGCGTCTAGGAAGATTTAATGCATAGATGTTCTTTTTTTTAAAAATAAATTTTCTTGCCCTGGCTGGTTTTGCTCAGTGGTTAGAGCGTTGGCCTGCAGTTCGGAGAGACCCGGGTTGGGTGTCCGCTAAGGGCATGTACCTCAGTTGTAGTTTGTCCCCAGCCCTGGTTGGTCGTGCAGGTGCAGCCACTCGATGTGTCCCCTTCATGTCAATGTTTCTCTCTCTCTCTCTTCCTCTCTCTCCCTCCCACTCTATCTGAACAAAAAATGGAAAAATGTCCTCGGGTGAGAATAAAAAAAAAAAATTTTTTTTAAATAAAATAAAATTTTCTTTATTGATTTGAGAGAGAGAAGAAGGGAGAGGGAGAGAGATAAAGACATCAATGGAAGAGAACATCGATTGGCCGCCTCCTGCATGCCCCCCCACTGGGAATCGGGCCCACAACCTGAACATGTGCCCTGACCAGTAATTGAACCAGCAACCTCTTGGTGCGTGGGTCGTTGCTCAACCACTGAGCCACGCTAGCCAGACCATAGATGCTCTCTTAATTTAAAGAAGTCTACACAAGAATGTGTTGTTTTTTTGACAGCAGGCAGGTTTTCAAAATTATTTCATAACTATTTGGGGTTACTACCTACAGAGGCTTTAAAATCATATTTTCTGTCCTCTTCCCCTTTTTGTTCGTAGTTGTAAAATCTTTTCTCCATGTCTAATCTATGAAACTATGCAGTCACTGTATGCATGCTTCTTTCTACTGATTGTCAACATTGAACCCAGCTGGTGCCTTAGTGTGTTGGACAATGATTGGACTTCAGTTTGCGAAGATGAAAGCTAAAGATTTATTTTTATATCAATCAACTTGGGAGCTTACATGTCGTCACATTTATTACAGTCCAAATACCGTTTTATTTTTAGGTAGCGACTTCTGGAGCATTAGTGTAAGCCCAGGATGGTTCCAGTCCTCATGTTTAAGTCCACATTAAATCTGGTAGTATTTTAGTCCCACTGCTGGTCAAAAACTGTTGCTCCATGTGATCATACTAGCTTTAATTTAGTCACGTGAGACACTTTAAGGTTCTGGGTCTCACATTTGCTTTGTTTTTCTTTGGAGCTTTACTGGAAACCAAACACTATTGCGTACGAGCTGCAGAAGCAGGAGGGGAAGTTGGCAAGAATGAACTGCTTTCTGTTTGGTCTGTCAGAGGCAGCTGACCTTTTGGAAGGAAATCGCTGCTCTTTGCTTCTTCCTGTAACTGCAGCCGGTAAAAGAACATAGACACAGAAGCCATTATCCTGGCTGATGTCTTGGGGCAGACGCTGTTGGTTAAGAGGTGGGAGTTTTTCAGTGCACCTGCTGTATGTTGTAGAAACATTCGCTCACGTTCATGGTGCTAAATTGTGTGTAGATATCCCAGTAGATATATAGCAAAAAACTGTTTCCAGAAAAAGTAGTTTGTTTTAGCAAAAGTAAGTGTATTTGATTGCAAAGTGCCAGTGTTAATGCTGTGGTAAATGTTACTTTATGCACAGTTTTAATTCATCTTGATGTTAAATGTCCTGATGTCACTATTATTTCTTACCCTGGATAACCTTTTTTCACCAAGAAGCCAAACATTTTGACTTTCTAAGACATGGTGAGTCTTTATTTAAATAGCATTTCATCTCAGAATTATTAGCTTCTTAGCACCTGCTACCCATTGTTGGACCTGCCTTTTCTGCAGGATTTGTTGTATTTAAGCACAGTGAGTATTATACCCCACACATTGGCTTTATCCTCAGCTGCAGCCAGTTGGGCTTCACAAATGGAACGACATCCAATGAGCAAATAAAGGAACTAGCTGACCAGGCATTTCTCTCTTAAAAGACACAATTCTAGTTTTCCATTTATTTTAACCAAAACTTAGGCTCATTTTCTATTTTTGAAAGGATTTACATTCAAATAACTGTCTTTTAGCAAAAATGAAGTAGATTGTGATTATGGTCAATGCAGAGAATGCAGCTATCTGAAAAAGGGGGACAAATACAGGATATACAGTACTCTATTCTCTTTTTTGGTACGTGCCCCTAGCAAGAACCAAACTCGGGACTCTCTGGTCCACAGGCCGACGCTCCAACTGCTGAGCCAAACCGGCCAGGGCCAGTACTTTGTTCTTCTGCACTTAGTTTGGGTTTGGTGGGTAGCTGTGCCATCCCAGTGTAGTGTGGTCTGTCTCCCAGGTTTGCTGTTGATAGTGAAGATCATGGAGTGAGTGCTGGTGTTGATGCACAGAAAAGTGGGAAGCATAACCTGGGAAGAATGACCTCAGGGCTTCCTTAGCAACATTGCCCTACAGTGCTGCCTTTCTGTTCTTGGAAACTGGCCCAGTCTGTTCAACCTTCCTGAGGTAGTAAAGAATCCAAGAGGGAATACAGACCTTGCTGTGACCTTAAGTATAGGTTCTGAGCACAAAATAAGTTGATGTCAACAAAACAGTTCTGTTGGCCTTTGAGTAGGAGCAAATTTGGGAACCAATGGCTAAGGCTTTCTGGAATCTGATCCTGTAACTATAGCCTTCCTGGAGGCCTTGAATTGTTACCCTGAAACTGTCAAGGGTCTTTTCATATGCCAGTTGTGTTCAGGTGTGTCATTAGGGGTATGGGCAGCGTAGTTCTGAAAAAGTATAAAATGGGTAGAGAGACAAACCTTCACTAGAAATTCTGAGATGGACATAGAAATTTTCCACAGCAGCCAGAAATCATTTCTTCCTTTTCCACAATGCAGATGGCCAGTACTCGTGGACTACAGAAAGTTGTTTTAGTTATCTGGAAAATGGTAGTGATGTAGCTTCTTCCCAAAAGGGTGTTCAAATTGCTAAATGGATTTCAACACAGAATGAAAATGCACATTCATCCAAGCTGTGAGCTACTGTGGCAGGAGGGGGCCCGACCTGTAGGACAGCATCCTACCGGCTGTAGTAGTCTGAGAGGTCCCAATGTCTATGTACTGCCAGTTTTCAGATGAGAGTCAAGCCTCTACTATCATTGCTTTTGTTTTACTATTTGATATTTTTACTTTTAATTTTGATTTTGAAAAAATTTTAAATTACTGAAAAGTTGAAAGAATAAAACAGTGAACACTCATATATACTTTGCCTGGACTGACCAATTGTTAACAGTTGTTACATCTAGGTAACAACTCCCTCTCACTCTCTCCTTTGAAAGTAAGTTACAGACGTCATGACCTTACCCTTAAATACATGAGTATGTATCTACCAAGAACAAGGTGGTTCTATATAACCTCAATGCCATTATCAGTCTCAAGAACTGCAACATTGATACAATAATATCCAATATATAGGCCATGTTAAAATTTAATTTAAAAGTTTTTAATTGTACCAGTAATGTCCTTTAGTGCTGTGGTGTGTGTGTTTAATTATATTCTAGGTAGTTATCATATTTTTAATCTCATTTAATCTAGAACAGTTCCACATTTTTCTGTCTTTCACATGAGTCTCGCAATTTGCATTTGTCTGACTGTTTCTTCATGAGTAGAGGTAAACATTTAGTTTGTGTGTTCTTTTCAGAGTATCGCATGTAGAGGCATAAAATGTCAGTTTGTCCCCTGGTTGGGGATGTTTGATTACTTAGTTAAGGTGTTGTCCGCCAGCTTTTTCCACTGAAAATATACATATTTCCTTTTGTGAATAAGAAGTAATATGTGAGGTAAAACTTTGATATTGTGTGAATATCCTGTTCTCCAAGTATCACCTAATGGTTTTAGCAGCTATGATGATCCTTGTCTGAGTCTACTCTGTTTATATTTGAGATTGTGTGTGTTGGGCCAAGATATATTTAGGTGACAGGTTTAAGTATATGATAACCTACTGATTAAAACTTGATCGTTAGCCCAGCCAGTGTGGCTCAGTGGATTGAGCTTCGTCCCATGGACAGAGAGGTCTCAGTTCAATTCCCGGTCAGGGCACATGCCCAGGTTGCAGGCTTGATCCTTGGTAGGCGGCGTGCAGGAGGCAGGCAATTGATGTTATCTCCCTCACAATGATGTTTCTTTCTATCTCTCCTTTCCTCTCTCTCTCAAAAATCAGTAAAAACATTTTTTGAAACAAATTGATCTTTAGCCCTGGCCAGTTTGGTTCAGCAGTTGAGCGTCGGTCTGCAGACCAGAGAGTCCCAGGTTCGGTTCCTGCTAGGGGCACGTACCACCATTTAGCAAATGGCTGCCCTTCCTTCTCCCTCCCCTCATTCTCTCTTCTTCCCAAAATAATATGTAATGATTTGTCTGTGACGTAAAGATTTATGACTGATTGTCTTCCCAGAATATTATCATCTCTATGTTGCCTGGGCAAATTTTTCCTTGTTTATGTCTTTGTGAGCCAAATACTTTTATTCTTTCTGTTCTCATCCCATCTGTTTAATAATCTGATTTTGCTAGAGAACTGCCTTCCTGATTGCATATAAAGTAGTGTTTAGAAATTTTTTTTAAGGAGCAGATGGCTCTGGTATTGACCTACTTCTACATGGGAAAGTTTTACTATAGCCTTCTTACTTGACATTAGGCCAATTTTAATATGAACAAAGTCTTAATCCTTTATGACTGCTAGTCAGTATTCCAAGTTCCTACTACTGGGTAACCAACACCATTTAATACATGTAATCATTGATATTAACACAACCAGTGAACTTGCTGTTTAGATTCTCTCCAAAGTCCTTTAGTCTTTAAATGGTGCTGATATGATGAACAGTTTTGAATTCTGGTTCCTTGCCTTACACTTTTCAGATAAGAAGCAATGTTTATATACCTTCTGTTTCATATGCCAACTAGCCCAAGCCTTTGCTCAAATCAAAGCTTTGCAGTATTAGGTTTCTTATTCTAATCTCTTATTCTTTTTCTTTCTTTAAATTATAAAATATAGCAGTCAGGCTGGTGTGACTCAGTGGTTGAGCATCGACTCGTGCACCAAGAGGTCGCCAGTTCAATTCCCGGTCGGGGCACATGTCCAGGTTGTGGGCCCAATCCCCAGTGTGGGGCATGTGGAAGGTGGCCAGTTGATGTTCTCTCTCATCAATGTTTCTGTCTCTCTCTCCCTCTCACTTCCTCTCTCTCTAAAATCAAAAAAGGGAGAAAAAAATAGAAACATATTTAAAAAATAAATAAATAATAAAATATAGCAAACATACAGAAAAATACAAAAAATAGTATGACCAACCACTGCAAGTCCTCAAGACAAAGGGAGCATGGTAGAGGGAGAGGGGTACAGGCTCTGGGGCCAGACTGCCCACATCCAGCCCAGATGGTGGCCCTCAGTATTGGGACCTGGAGCAAATACTTCACCTCCAAAAGAAACCTGTACCCATTAAAAGTCACTCCTGCCCTGGCCAGTTTGGCTCAGTGGTTAGAGCGTTGGCCTGCGGTCCAGAGAGACCCAGGTTCAGTTCCCGCTAAGGGCATGTACCTCAGTTGCAGTTTGTCCCCGGCCCTGGTTGGGTCATGTGGGTGGTGGCCACTCGATGTGTCCCTTTCACGTCGATGCTTCTCTCTCTCTCTCTCCCTCCCACTCTATCTGAACATAAAATGGAAAAATGTCCTTGGTGAGGATTAAAAAAAAAAAAGTCACTCCCTATTACCCCAGCCCTTGGCAACCACCAATGTACTTTGTCCCTAAGGGTTTTCCTATTCTGGATATTTCATTTAAATGGAATTTGCAATATGTGGCCTTTTATGTCTGGCTTCTTTCACTTAGCGTAATGTTTTCAAAGTTCATTCATGTTGTAGCATGTATCAGTACTTTATTCCTTTTTATGTCTGAATGATATTCCATTTTATTCATTTTATGTTTCCATTTATATCCACATTACTCATTCATCTGTTGATGGACATTTGGGTTGTTTCTACTTTTTGGCTGTTATGAATAATGCTGCTATGAACATTTATGTACAAGTTTTTGTGGACATGTGTTTTCAGTTCTCTTAGGCATATGTTTGGGAGTGGAACTGTTGGGTCACGTTGATATTCCATGTTTAACCTTTTGAAGAATTGCAAGATTGCTTTCCAAAGCTGTTACACCATTTTACAATCCTGTAGAATTTGCTGAGTCTCAATTCTCTCATCTATAAAGTGGGGATAATAATAATTCCTTCTGCCTAGGGTTTGTTTTGTTTTTGTGGTACATGCCCCTAGCGGGAACCGAACCCGGGACTCTCTGGTCTGCATGCAGGCCAACGCTCAACCGCTGAGCCAAACTGGTCAGGGCATGTTAGGATTAAATGAGTAGATCATGGAAGCACTTATGGTCATAAATAATATAGTAAGTGCTCAGTAAATGACAGATCTGGT